AAGCTTGTGAACTGCTGGACCAAGTGCATTGCCAAGGGAGGAGACTATGTTGAAAAATAATGTATACATTAAACCCCTATTTTTGTGTAAATAAATTGTAGAACGAAAAGTGCAGATAATTTTTTACTCACCCTCGTACATTATTTGTTCTTATGTTGAATATTTATGTATATGTAAATACGCTATTGAAAATTAAGTTAAGTAAAGTCCACAAATTCCATTCTTTCACTTTGATGAAGTTATTTGGTTCGATGATTCTTTGTGCAATAAAAGTGCAATTTACCTGTAGTAATTATCCTTCACTAGATTGTTGCGTCTTCTTGATATATCAAATGATTAAGCTGTAATAATGATTACAATATGTTTTGATTTCCTATTCGAAAAATAGAATAACTTTAAACAGATTCTTTAATTGTAAACTAGTAGGACAAATAATTGTATTTTAATTGTTTAATTTATTTCTTAGTAAGATTTCATTTGTTTCAAATTTTTATTTTATTCTCTGGCTTCATTCAAAGTATTATGTTCTGTTTAGCCTACTGTTTTTGTTATCACTTTTTCTAGATGCAAGAGATACGTGGAAAACAACCTGGTACCACAGTGTATGTTTACAACGATTTTACTTATAACCAAGATGTTCGTAATAAGAAAATTCTACGATGTAGTACTCGACGTTGTTCAAAATGTCCTGGTACTATATATATTGATAATGATGGCAAAATACATTTACTCCATGGTCATAATCATATTGAGGCACAAGAGAAAGTAAAACAATCTATCATGAAACAAGAAATGCTGAAACTTTGTCGAGAGTCACACTTATCTTTGAAAGAAATATTTGATAGTGTGTGCAGAAAGTAAGTACATATCATTATTCATTACATTTAAAACTGATAAACAATTTGTAATTGTTGCCTGGATATTTAGATATCCTGAAACAGCCATAAGATTGTCATACGCAACATTGAAATCTACATTGTACCGTGAAAGAATTAAACTACGTCCAAGTTTACCGAAAAATGTGGAATCTTTTGCTGCAAATTTATCAACATATGTACCTATGGAAAAATTTTACAAAGGAAGTGTGACCTGCATCGATGGAAAGAAAGCACTGATATTTTCAAGTAATGAATTGTTACAAGAACTGCAAAAATCAACAGAACTTTACGTAGATGGTACATTTAATGTAAGTTCATTTATAACATTAAAACTTGTAACATAATAACATTATTATTATTCAAACCCTGATTGAGGTAATATTTTTCGCAATAAGTTTCTTATTTTAATAAATTTGTCAGTCTGTTCGACAGGAAGTACCTTTCGTTGTTAATTATCACTGGCGACAATAAGAAGTTATAGTTTCATTGATTATTATTATGTTCCTATATATCTAAATAAATTATATGTTTAAATTATGTTAATTGTTTTAGATTGTTCCACGTATACCATTAATGAGCCAAATGTATTCGATTCATACCCGATACATGAATGTTGTAAGTATGAAAAGTACGCTATAATGTAGTGAAACGTTGCCTAATCGTTTTCCTCGCGGACGATGTGATGGAATATGTACAATGCTATTATATATTATATCATATGCGGGAACGCGGTGTGCGGGACGACCGGGCGCGTGCGCGCCGGAAGTCGGCCCGCAGTGCGATGCGGGCGGATCGCGTTACCTCGTGGAATGGGTACGGCACGGGCGCATTATATACGCGGGACGGACGGACAAATATTCAACGCACGTGTCTGATTCAGATATTTACAAGTGACGCGAGTTCCTCGGTCGGCCTCGTGTTCTGGAGGCGTAGGTGTCCGCGACGTAGGAACGGGCGCGAGCGGTCCGATACCGCAAATGGAGTCTCCCGTTAGGCGCGGGTGCCGAGAATACTCGGCGGAAGCGGAACACTCTCCGCTTCACGGATCCGGCGGCTGCGGTCGATGTCTGGTCGGGTAGTTGCCACGGGTTCCGAGAAGTCACGGTTGAGGCGGAGAGCGAAGCTCGGCGGTGACGGAGTACTCTCCACCACCCAGTTCCCCACGGCTTTCGTGCTGAAGGAGCTTATTGTCGAGGCTGGCGGATGAACGGATCGTGCTCGGTAGCCGGTCTCCAGGAGAGTGTCTTTTTAGGAATGATTAGCCGGCTTTTATATCGGTTAATCATTCCGCTTCATAAGCGAGTCGGTTGGTACGCGTGCACGTCGACGCGCGACGCCTGTACGTGGCTCGGTGCCGCGGTGCGTGCTCGGATCCGATCGTGGCCCCGGTGGATCGGCCCGGCGCGCGCGAGTTTCGCGGCCTTTATGCGGCGCGTTGCGCCTGCTTCTCGCCCGACGATGTTCAGTCGGGCGGCATTCGGTGGGTGTTTTGGCCGGGGAATGATGCATCGGAGGTGCATTGTTACATCGTGTGTACAATTATTAGTTTGTTAGTATGGCATATGTGTGAATATTATTTAATAAGTAACAGACGAACACATAAAGAAAATAATAATTGGATCTTGTTTGAAATTAAGTCTTTTTACAAAAGAATACTGATTTAATTATATACAGGCTGTTTCATTTTAAATGATCTACGCAAATATCTCCGAAAATATGAAAGATACGGAAAAACGTTTCAAACAAAAGTTGTTTGGTTCGAAGGGAGACATAAGGAAGTGCTATTGACTTGACCTTAGATAGTTATTTGAAGGTCACGTAAAGGTCACCTTCAATTTTTTAATGGAACCCTCAATTGTTTATTATACTACCTTATTCTACTAATTAATATGAACAACTTTTGTTTAAAACATTGTTTTAGTTGTATAATACTTTTTGAGATATTCAAGAGAAAATTTATAACTTTTTCAATGTTTACCTTATGATATCTCGATAATTCTTTGTCGGAGGGAAAAGTAGTACATAACTTTTTTACTTGATTTAATCTCAGGAATATGCTGTTGCAATAGTGTTCCAATTATTGAAAATTTTTGTGTATGTAAATTTTATGTATGTTACAATACATTATGTATGTTACATTCTTGAGACCAAATCAAGTAAAAAAGTTCTGTATTACTTTTTCCTCCAACAAACAGTTATCGAGATATCATAAAGTAAACATTGAAAAAATTATAAATTTTCTCTTGAATATCTCAAAACGTATTAGGTAAATAAAAAAATGTTTCAGACAAAAGTTGTTCACAGTAATTAGTAGAATAAGACAGTATAATAAATAATAGAGGGTTCCATTTCAAAAATTGAAAATGACCTTCACGTGACCTTCAAATGAGTATCCAAGTTCAAATGAATGACACCATCTTATGTCCCCCTCGAAACCATAAAACTTTTGTTTGAAACGTTTTTCCGTATCTCTCATATTTTTGGAGATATTTGCGTGGATCATTTCAAATGAGACACCCTGTATATTGGTTTTATTATCTTATAAATATAGAAAGTTTGAAAATATTACAAAAAAATATTATTTTATATATACATAAAAACTAAGAATTATCAACATAGTCACACACAACTTGACTAGTTTTATTTTTTAAATAAATTTGTATATTTGCTAAACATTTGGTTTTTCTAAATAATAATAAAATTCGAATAATATATTTACAATTCAGACATTATATTAGATATTTTTATTCCTCATTTTCATATTTAAATAAATTAATACTGATTTTGATAATGGATAATTCAATTTGTTTTACACACACGCACGCACGCACGTGCATACACAATCTCATATATACGAGTATATTTCTTTACAGGGTATTGGTATGGTCTTTGTCCTATGTGAAAGTCGCTCTAGTAATATGTACACAGCTATGTGGAAAAAAATTATGGAATTAGTACCAATGCTTCAACAAAATGTAAAGTTTATAATGAGCGATTATGAGGTTGCTGCCTTGAAAGTGATAAATGAACAATTTCCTGCAGCAGAGGCTCATGGATGCTGGTTCCATTTTAATCAAGTATTATAATTTTTTAGAATAATTAAATATTGATATTTAATTCGATAACTTATTCCTTACTATTTAATATAGATAAAATTAATTATGATACATATAGGTACAATTATACTTTTAAAGCTTTCCGGGTATTTATAATGATTTAGAGATTACGTTATTAATTATATTTATAATGATTTAGTAATTATATTATTATCAGTTGTTCCACGCGTTAATGAAATAAATTACAATGTTCTCGAAACGTTAATATTATTAATGCATCTTAGAACGATAGCAACCCACAAAGAACTAAATAATTATGATTCAAATAACATTCTGTTAACTGTTTATTGTGTGCTGATTTTTTATCTTAGATCCTACTTATAAAGGATCCAAATCAAAAGTCTAAACGTTGTGAAACTTTACTCAATTATTTAAACGTTGTGAAATTTTACTCACAATAAATATCAGTTCAGTCGAATTAAAGTTATCAATTTTTTTATAAATAGTAATATATTTACAACATCAGTGATTTTTATCGACCGTATCTGGCAATTAAAATTCTTATTGCGAAAAATATTACCCCAGCCAGGATTCGAACCTGGGACCTCCCTACAATCCGTGACGGGCGTGTTAGCCAGCCCAGGTTCGAATCCTGGCTGGGGTAATATTTTTCGCAATAAAAATTTTAATTGCCAGATATGGTCGATAAAAATCACTGATGTTGTTAATTACTGCAGGCGACTTTTAAGAGTATTCTTACTAGTAATATATTTATATACACTTATAGGCACTTTTGCGTCAATGGCGGCGATTAGGATTAATAGACGCACCAAGAAGTGTTTTATCTATGACTATGACTATGGCATTGATTCCTTCTGATTGCTTTGAGAAAGCACTTTCCATTATACAACTTGAAGTTAATCAAACTTCTTCTAAATATCCTGCTCTTAATGATTTTCTGGCTTATGTACGTAAGACTTGGTTACCAATGGCATCAAAAGTTAGTGTTTATGATTGTCCTGCAAGAACAAATAATATAACAGAGAGTTTTCATAATATAGTAGGAAAAAAATTCGACAAAGCTCATGGAAACGTTTGGAATTTCTTAGGTATTACTATATTTTTAATATTTTTAATTTGTACAAACGGAATATTAAAAACAAAACATTTTAATTATATAATTATTGGTGTGAGATACTATTGCGTCTCTTGATATTAATTTTTTTCTATTTTATGAAACAGTTTAATTAATAACATTTTTTTATAGATAATCTACGCAAATTGATAATTGATGAAGAGCTGAAACTAAAACGTCTACAAACATCTGAAGTAGGTGGGCATCATGCAAGTGTTAAAAATAAAAGGCGAGACAATAAAATACTAGAAACTCAAAAAAATTTTGCGATTGGCAGGTTAGTTAATAACAAATTAGTTTCTTGAAGTATAACAATTGTTAAAGCATATATATTGTATATATATATATACACACAGAGTGTCCCAATTTAATGTCCCACCCCAAATAACTTTTTTATTTTTGATCGTAGAAAAAACGTTTCAGACAAAAGTTGTTTGGTTTCGAGGGGGACATAAGACGGTATCATTTGTGTGACCTTGAATAGTTGCTTGAAGATCACGTGAAGGTCACCTTTAATTTTTTTAATAGAATCCCCTATTGTTTATTATACTATCTTATTCTAATAATTAACATGTACAACTTTTGTCTGAAACTTGATTTGCCTAATACTTTTTGGGTTATTCAAACGAAAATTTTAACTTTTTCCATGTTTAGCTTATGATATTTCGATAACTGTTTGTCGGGGGGGAAAAGTAGTACAGGACTTTTTTTACTTGATTTGATCTCAGGAATATGCTGTTGCAATGGTGCTCCAATTGTTGAAAATTTTTGTCTATTGTAACATACTT